GTGTCCGGGGCTGGTCCCCAGCCCTTGGCTTCCCCAAACGCCCCACCGGAGCCAGCGCATCGTGCTGCCCCGGCTTTACCGGCACAGCTCTGCTTGCCCTCGCCTCTGCACAGACCCGAGTGATGCCCGAGGGGTTTCTCTGGAAGGTGGCGTTTAGACCAGGCGTTTTATAAGATGTTTATCAGAAGTCTGCCTAACAGCTACTGCATCTTCCCACGGCTCTTAGGGGTGTGTTTAAACGAAAACACTCCGAATTATTTCTATGCAAAGAACTGAGCTGCAAGTTGTCGCCTCTGCGGTGGCGTGGCCTCTTCACAGGGGCAGGCAGCAGCTCCCGGGAGCAAAATCAGTGATTTTGGGGGGCGGCTCATCGCAGGTACAAGGAGGTGCCAACTTGAAGAGAGCACGTGCCTTTCGCAGGAGCAGAGTTGTGCCTCTGCGGCGGCTCTCACCCTGCTCTGAGCAGGGGGCTTGGCTGGGGATGTTCCCTGCGGGACAGCGGTGAGCAAAACGCGGGAGCAGCTCATCCCCTGAAACACGTGCGGGACGCCCCAGGGCTGCAAAGCCCCTGCGGGTCTGATAGGGGTGCAGGGCTGGGTGCGGGTCCTCCCCCATCGTGTGGCAGGGCCAGCCTGGCTGGGCGGCTCCTGCACCAGCTCCAAGGCTTTCAAGAACCCTTCTTTATTTTAAAGAATCAGTTCAAAACATAAACCTCCACGTTTTGATGGGCGAGCGCTCTGCAAGGTGCACCCTGACAGCTGAGTATGTATGAAATGTGGCTTGGCAGCATCTCCGGGCTGACGTCGGTGCAGAGCGTGCAGCCCCGTATCGCAGCACGCGTTTGCACCAGGAGCTCCCGGGGAAGCTGGAGCGGGGAGTGATGCTCGGCCCAAGCTGTCTCCCTTTTCTCTTCCATCCTCCTCTCTTTTGGAGGGGATGGGTGTCGGACCCAGTGGGCGTTTTGCTGCCATTTAAGTAGGGGCGTGATTAGACCTTAAAGTGATGGGCACCTTGTGAAAACAAGGTGACACTTAAAAATTATTGAAAACCCTCATAAATTGCTTTTTTCCCCTAATAGATTACCATGGGCTCAGCTCTCCATGGTGTAGGTAACGCATGTGAGTGATTTGTTCTATTGGGGATTATACCAGATGCTGTAAAATCACCTTGTAAGCATTTGAAAATCGTTTGTCTGTCTCTGACGTGTCTTAGCACGCACAGGAATGCTCTGTTTGGGGAAGTGAGGTCTTTATCCTGATTTATCTTGAGGTACTTGTAAATGTTATTGCAATTTCATGTTATCAAATCATTTAGCTCTTCCTCTTCCAGAACAGAGTTATTTTATCTCATGCACCTTGTTTACTTCAAATTAGCCCTGAGGTTGGCCTGAAGTTGCACCTTGTTATTCCTCCACCTCCTGTCTCCGTCTTAGGCTCTGTCGGCAAATTTGAAGGTATAAGTAAATACTTTTTTGTTATTAATAGAATAACTTCCTCCTCCTACACACACATTTTCTTTTCATTCCAGTCTTCATTTTCCATGAGAAACTGACATTGCAGTACAAGCGGAAACCTCCCAAATTGCATGAAAACGCCTTCATTCTCCTAGCAACAAGGTCAGGGCTCAAATCCAGGACCCAGACGTGGGGGAAACGGCCCTTCCAATTACCTGCTCCCCCTGCGGTATGGATCCAGTCGGTTCACCAGCACCTGGGTTTGGGTGGATTTGAAACTCAGCCATGGTATTGTTTAAAAATCCTCCATTCACTGGGGAAGGGTTTGCAGTGGGCTGAGCCCTGGGAAACCTGGGGCTGGTTTTATGGCTTCCCATTGAAACCTGGTGGAACCCCGTGGTGTTAACTGATTTCCCCCTTCCCTACTCATGTGGCTTTGATCAAACCCAGGGCTCGGAGAATGACCCCCCCAGGAACTGGAACCACTGAGCTTTGCCCAGTTCTGCCGTTCATTAAAGCGTTTGTGAGCTACCAAATGTAGATGATAAAATTAGGACCTTTGTGCCTAGCCGGGTACGGAGGTTGCCGGTCCTACGGCAGAGCTGGCCCTGCGTGTTTGGTGCAGAAGTCGCCGTGATCTCCCCACCTTTTAATGGGACCTACCTGCGGTAATGAAACCCTTTGGGCAGGATGGGGCATTAACGATTTTAGGGTAAACATCACATGTTGTTGCACTGCTTGAATTGAAGCTCTGCTAGAGGTATTAAGCCAGGGAGGGATGGCTGGTCCTGGAGGCTGGCGAGGACGAAGCTTCTCCCCTGTCATTGCCTGTGTGACTCCAGCTTGGGTTGTCGTGCCTGATGGTTCCCATCTCACAGCTCCATTTGCAGCTCGTACGAGGTGATTTGCGGATCAGACATGCAGGGAAGCCTGAGCCAGCTCAGCCCGGGGGACTTCCCTCCTGTCCCACGATCCCTGACCTTCCCACAAACTGTGCCAAACTCAGCTGTGATTGTGCAGGACATTTTTGGAAGGCTTCTAGGAAAGAGCAGGCTGCCCCAGCCTTGGAGAAGGGGTGGTAAGTGTGCGGGGCTGGGCTCCTCGCCCTGGCCGTCGTGCCCAGAGGAGCCCCCGAGCAGAGCCATGCAGCCTGGGACCGGCCACCACTGCAGGTGCTGGGCTGGTCACGCTGCTGTGGCTTTCCTGGCCCCCCAGGGTGGGATAAGTGAAATGGCCAAAGAGTGAGAGGGTCTGATACTGTTGAGTTTGTGCAGGGAGAGTTTAACAGTAAACACAGCACAGGCCTGCAGTACTGAAAAACTCATTATTTGACTTCAGTGGGGCATTGGGTTGGGCTAATACTACGATGGAAATCCTTCCTTAGGCTTTGCTGAGTGTTAGATGAAGTTCTGTACGATGCTCCATACTGCGCATATCCCTGTCTGAAATCCATAAAAATGCCCAGAGACAACATCCAGGCCTGAAGCGAGCCTGTATTTACTCCCCAATATCCATAAAACAAAGTGCCGGTGCACACAACGATGCATGACGTTCTAGGTGCAGAACCAGTAACTCAGCCGTTAAAGGGCAAAACCTATTTTCTGGTTGAAGATTATAGGTGGGAATAATTTTGTCTGTGCCGAACCACTGTTGGTGGGCTCGGAGCCGGCGGGCATTGGCTCTGTCGGACACAGGGAAAGCTTCCAGCAGCTTCTCACAGAAGCCACCCCTGTAGCCCCCCCATTACCAAAACCTTGCCATGCAAAGCCAATACACCCTGTTTGTCAAAATGGCAAACCAATTGGGGTTGGGGAGCTAGCAGCCCGTGGCTCTGGAATGGGCTGCCCAGGGAGGTGGTCGAGTCCCCATCCCTGGAGGTATTTAAAAGAAGGATGGATGAGGTGCTTAGGGACAGGGTTTAGTGGTGGGATGGCAGGGTTAGGTTAAAGGTTGGACTCGATGATCTTAAAGGTCTTTTCCAACCAAAGTGATTCTATGATGCTATGATTCTATGATTCTAATCCTCTTCCTCTGCGAGGAAGAAGGTCGTTTAGGGACATGGTTTCCTAAGCCAGGGACTTGAGCTCTGGGTGGCTGCTTTTGGGTTGAGATTGAAAGGTGGGGAGAAGGGAAGGACCACATCCCCCCTGCCAGCAGAAACGAAACCCTCTTCCATCACCCCCTCTGACAGTGGAGCTGGTGTGGGTCTGGTGGCTGAGGACACTGCTGCCCCAAGGCCCTCCACCTGCAGTCACATCGGGATCGCTGGGATGCCAGTGGGATGCTGGCTCGTCTGGGGAGTCACTCTGGCTTGGAAACGGCCCTTTCTGCTGTGCTGTTGCTCAGGGATGCGAGCTGGAGCCAAGCCTGGTGTCTGCAATGCGGCTCCGAGATAACTGGTTGGATTCGGGGAGTGGAGTGGGGTCGGGGACCTTGGCGCCTGCGGCACCCCTCCGGCTGATCCCCGGAGCTCCGAGCTCTGTTTATTTGCCAGGTGTCGCGCCTGGGATGCTGCGGGGGAGTTTTCAAAGCACCGGGAAAGCTCAGACTAAGGCGTGTAGTGATGTTAGTGGGATTTGGGCGGTTATGGATGCAAACCCGTAAGGTATTTTGGAAAACATATCGAAGTGAGCAGTAGAAGTGGCAACGCTGTTGTTTGGCCCATATGAGATTCTGATTGTTTTAATTTTTTCTGATTAAGTATGAGGTTTCCCTGGCATGAGCTCAGTTCATCTGCCTTCACCAATGGAAAAAGCCACGCTAAATGTCTTGCTTTGCTTGTAGTTGAAGGGGCTGGACTGGATAAACTGAACGGTTGTCTTTGAGAAATCTCTCTCTCCTCGGATAGGAGTGTTTAAAGAAAAAAACCGAAATGACGACCTCACGCTTCCGTGCTTTTCTTACATTCATTTCTGTTTCAGCTGATGTTTGTTACGGCTCCTATTAACAATGTTTGAACCAAAAACCAAGGTCCAGATGTGATGATTTTATTTATGCCAAATTGGGTTTTGGTCACTGAGTTTGCATTTGGATAATGATTTTTTTTCTTCTTTTTCTTTTTTTTTTTCCCCTTCTCAGCCTGATGGCACCAGCAAGGAGTGTGTCTTCATTGAAAAAGTCCTAGAAAACAACTATACGGCACTGATGTCAGCAAAATATTCCGGCTGGTATGTTGGATTCACCAAAAAAGGGAGGCCACGGAAAGGGCCCAAGACCCGGGAAAACCAGCAAGATGTACATTTTATGAAGAGGTACCCAAAGGGGCAAGTGGAGATACAGAAACCCTTCAAGTACACAACAGTCACCAAGAGGACTAAGAGAATACGACCCACCAACCCCAGTTAAAACCAGACAAAACCAGTGTCACAATAATAAACCACAAAAAAAAAAAAAAACTGCACCAGAGGAATATTTTTACATTAAAAATAAGGAAGAAGCTCTATTTTTGTACATTGTGTTTAAAAAAAAAATAAAAATAAAAAAAATGAATAAAAGACTAGATGGCAAACGCTGGGGAAAAGCTGTTAGGGATTTATTGTGACTTGAAAAACAAAATGAACTGCTTTATTTAAATTGACTTCTTGTTGTTGATGACACACAGGTGCTTATTTCGCTTTTTTTGGAAAGGACAACTTTTCAAGCATATCCCCAGAGGAAAAAACAAACAAACAAACAAAAGTAATTCTAAAACAATAAATAAATAAAACCAAAGAAAACCAAAGTTCTTTCCCAAAGTTACTGAGACCCTGCCCCGAAAAGTGCCGGTTTTGCAGTAATCTATTTATTGTCTGCTGCACGCCGGCCCGAGACAAGATGGTGTGTGCCGCAGTCCTTGAGTTCCCGTGGAGTTCTCGACGCATCGATCTTCTGTAACCTTTCTGACGACATAAGGTGTCACGGCTCCGTGATCCTGCATTATGCTCAGTTCTGGAGAATGCTGCTAAATACATTCAAGTGACTACAAGATGACCTAGTACACCAATGATAAGGGAATATTTTAAAACCAGCTATATTATATATATTATATATATATAAGCTATTTATTTCACCTCTCTGTATATTGCAGTTCCATGAACCAAGTATTACTGCCTCAACAATTAAAAAAATTATTTAAAACACATGGACATACTTTTGCTGTTCACACTTCTTTCCCCTCCCTGAGTGGTGGTTTTTTTAATGTGCATTTATCTTTTGTGCGAGGGCAGCAGGACGTGTTCAGGGCAGTCTCCCCACTACAAACCTCATTGCTAACTCCGTAATTCCTCCTTTTCCTTCATACCGCCTTCCTGCTCCTGCCTTGTTGTTCCCACAAGGAAGAAACCTTGCATGGGGCGATGATGGGCTGAGACTGGGGGAGTCCACGCTGGCGTTTTTCAAGAGTGGGAGTTAAATTTGGTACTTATCAGTCCGATGAGTATTTTACTTGGGTGCCGTAAGGCCACAAGGTGCGAATCTGTACGTACAGACGGACCCACATGGTGGGTTGGGGGAGGCAGCGTTAAACAGAGAGTGGGGAAAAGAAGGAGGAGAATGAAATAACTGACCTCAGATTTTAGCCGAAATGAGGAGTGAGCCCAAGTGGAGCTTTAAGGAGAAGCTCGCTTGACCTTTTCCTTCTCTCTGTGTGCAGGCATTGCTACGCTCCCCAACTCGCCAGGGCTGAAAATGCTCAAAACCCCTAAGAAAGCTTTTTCTTGTTAATCAGAAGAACAACTCTCCTCAGAATGAGCTTTCTCAAGATAACTTCGAGAGCCGCAGCCAAATCCTGCAGATCAAAGCCATTTGGGAGATGGTGCAGATAAGCATGCAAGCTTGAGGATGCTTATCTGAACCGATCTCCAAACCTCGCAAGCCCAGAGAAAAATGAGCAGTGCTGAACGGGGGCGCTTTGTGCTGCTCCACAAAAAGCTGGGCAGCCTTACAGGTGATGCCTTTACCCCAGCTAAGCACCGGCAGTTGCTTGGGCAGCCCCTCTCCCAGTCAATATACTGGGAGCTGCTCTCCTGGAGCACCTGGAGACCAGCATGGTAAATGAGACCTAATGACATGCTGGTGGAGTTGGTTGGTGGGGGTTGGAAGGCTCTGCCGGCTTTGCCTTCAGATTGTTTCATGTGGGAGAGATTTGGGGAAAGTTCAGAGGAGCTCTGGAGATTTGCTGTGTTAGAGCCTCCAAGAGGAGAAACCCAGTTGATTTCCAGAGTGAGAAAGGATTTATGGGTGCCTTTTTTCTCCTTTTCTCCTTGAAATATCACCATGGCCCATGGCACTGTCAGAACAACAGGGCTTGTTTGCCATTGGTGAAATTCAAAGGGGCAGAGGTGATAAATGCTGGAGGAGGCTGGGCAGAAGAGATCTCCTGTGAGGCCGAGAGCAACCAGGGAGGACCTGCTGCCTGTCCTGCAATGCCCACTGGATTTGGAGACTGTTACGTGGGAACTAAGGACCATGCAATTGTCACTAGGTACTTGTGTTGTTTGTTTACAAGAATATTTACTGGACAGCAGTGAGACAGGTTCTGGGCTGTGAGAAGTTGGTGTGGTGAGGAGATACGGTTCTCACCTGGGTTAGGTGCTGTCGGAGAGATTTGTTGACTGAGAAGGGTGTGTGTTAAGTATTTGTGTTTGAACATCTGCTTTTTAGGCTTTATTAACAAAAGCAGGGGCAAAGAGGAGAAGAATTGCGATCAGGTTCCCTTCAGAGCACCTTCACGTTGGGCAAAAGGGTGCTCTGGGGAGGAGAAATGAACAGAAACAGAGGAAATCCCTCACATGCCCAGTGGCGGACAGCCTTGTGCTTGGGGCCACCAGGCACGTGGTGTTTCTGCTCCTGGGCTGTGGTTGTCAACACCCCCGTTGGGCAAGTCTCTCTGCTGGCCTCCAGAAGAAGCTTGGCTGCGGTGTTTAACATTTCTTCCTTTCAGAAAGTCTTCAGGCTCCCTGACTGAGGTTCCCTGTGTAGGCTATTACTTTTGATTTACTTTATAATTGAAAATTGTTAATGAGGATTTAATTACTATTGTGGAAATAACCTCAGCAGCAAGGGGTGTAACGCTGGGCGATTGCTTGAAGCAAATGATGGCATGAATGCGTGTGGAGCTCTGGGTGGGCATGCTTTAAACAAACACACTGCTTAATTGGATTTAATAAAAGCATATTGTAGCTACTGTTTCAGAAATACTGTGAGACTTGTAGCGATGTTTTCATCAGACAGAGGCACGCTGGTTGGCTTTTTCGTGAAGCTGGGTGCAGGTGCCGCCGGGCTCAGCGAAATGTGTGTCCATCCCGGGAGGGAAGCTTTGAAGGTCCAGGGAAGTTTCTTGTCGATACTTTGAGTGCGTTGCACAAACCAGGCTGCCGTTGGGTGAGACCTTCTGGGTGGTGGGTCCCCCACACTGCTCCTGTGCTGGTGAAGGTTTGGCAGTCAGAGCTCAGCCGGGCTCTGTGTCTGGGCCAAGTAGGACAAACCTTCCGTCATGGCATTGTCATGACTGGTGTGGGGCTCACCGCTGGCTGGAAGGCAACGAGCATCCTTGTCGCTGTGCAAGGTGTCTTTCAGCTCACCAGGGACCTTTTCTGGACCACGGAGCTGTCAGCGAGCGGGAGTCATTGGCCAAGTTGACATCCCTGCAGCTGGAGCCCCAAAGCTGGCGTTGTCTGTCCTGCTCGACAGCTGGTAGTTCTGTTCCGCCTCTGCCTTGTTGATGCCAGCGCTGGTGCCATTGCAGGCTCTGCACCGCAAAGCCAGGCTGCACCTAGTCTGCCCCATTGGAACCTGGTCTGCCCCTCTTGCCGACAGTTGGCTTTTGGCAGCTTGTCTTTCGGGAGCACGAGCACGTGAAACTTGGTGCTCATTTTCTCGGGCTGTCCCAGCAGTCTGGTTTAGCGCGGGATCATCTCTGTAGTGCTGGTTCACAGGCTCACAGTTAGAGATGAGCTTTTTGCAGGTGGGAAGCAGCGGGGAAGCCTCTTCCAGGAGCACACTTGCAGTTTTAGCTGGGCCCTTCTGCAAGCGGGGGATTATTGCACCTGCCTAGAGGCGCAGCCTACCTATGCAGAGGGATTGATCCCTTCAGCTACATCACCTCTTACACACCAGTGTGTGCAATATCTGCACCATTAATATTGGCTCTTGGGAGTGTTGCTGATACACCCCTCCAATAAATGTCACCAGGTGAGGCAGGGGGAGGAAGAAGCAATTGGGACAAAAATGACGAAGTCTGGGGAAGGGATGATGCACTAATGCTCTGTGATCAGACCAAGTTATTACATCCATGACTTCTGGAGTTAAGGCTATAGCCTAAAAGAGCTGTGTGCTCTAATGCCCGTGAACCCGGTGTGTCTGCAGGGAGACACACGTGGGAACGGAGCAGAGCTTGGGGAGGATCCTGGAAAGCACCGTGAGGCCTGAGCTCAGCTCACCCCTGCGGCTGCACTGCCTCGAATCGTCTTGGTCTTTGCAATAGCTTATTTACCTTGGCTCGTGGAAACACGGCAGGGTGGAAGTTAGGTCTGGTTTAAGCAAGCGCCCAGCCTACACTAGCTCTCGGAGCAAGGCTTGACAGGCTCATGCGTTGTGCTACGGGCAGTGTTTTGCCCTGTGGATATCCGTCAGCTTTCCCAGATTCACTGGGCGTTTTGGTGTTTCCATACTTTCACAAGAGTAGTGGAATGAGATTTCAGCCAGGATCTCAGCCTCCAGCTGGAGAAGACGGTGTAGCAGTTTGTCTTGTCCGGGGAGTTTGTCCACCAAGGAAGATCTGACTGAGCAAACTGAGTCGGCTCTAGGTGGGATAGGTTGGGTAACAGAAAACATACGTGAACTTGGCTCTGAGAGCATGCTACGTTACCATCCCGACCTTTGAAAAGTAAGCTTGCAATATGTGAAAAAATGTGCGTGTGGAGTGATGTTTGTTCTTTTTTAGGGCACTGAATTACTCCACAAGGCAGGTATCTGCTGATGAAGGAGGAGGAGGCTTCTGTAGCTCGGTGTTGGTGTAGGTACCCCCTGCAAAGCCCTCTGCCTGTCTCTGTGCAGCCCAGAGCCTCTCTTGGTCCCGCTCGTCCAACGTAGCAGAAAGGGCCAGGCAAAGCGTGGGTGTCCCCAAGGAAAAAAGCTTTTCTCTCCCGTCTGCTCTCAAGGTACTAAATACCGTGATTTTTGGTCTGCTGCAAGGGAAAGCAGGTATATTCCTATGCATAATTCCCTGGTGGGGTGCCAAAGGGTGGAAGTTTATACTTAAGATTCACAACAGCTGTTTAAAGTGCCTATGTCTCGTGCCAGCCATACCACCTGAATGGCCAAGGGATATATATAAAACTTCAATTATTTTTTGAATGTTTGTTGTT